TGTTCCTCCATTTCTCCTTCTTCACCTTGTTCCTCCATTTCTCCTTCTTCACCTTGTTCCTCCATTTCTCCTTCTTCTTCTGGTTCCTCGCTTGGTTCTTCCATCCCTATATCTTGTTCTTCAACCTCTATATCTTGTTCTTCGGTTTCTATATCTTGTTCTTCGGTTTCTATATCTTGTTCTTCGGTTTCTACATCTTGCTCTTCGCCATCTTGGCGTTTTTTGATTAGATTTAAATTGTCAGACTGATCGACGTCAATATTACGGGTGGCCAAATTATTAATAGATGTGTCAGGACATGTCAAATCACCAGTTAGAGATGGAAATGCAGCGACATTAGCGTTAGAATTGTAAAATTTGATAGCGATCAAAACGATTAAAACACTCGTAAATAAACAATTAAAATAAAATCTAGGAAGTCGTGACATTTTCAAGAAAATTTAGATATAAATTTATTTCTGTGTGCTTTAATTTAATATTTTGACAATATTTTGACAATCGAAGCTTTGAAAACTAATAAAACAGAAGCAGCTTATTAAATATTATTTGGATATTTCAATTTCCATCAAATCAATCTCTATGCTTGATTAAAGATTAATCATAATGCGACGAATAATCGCATAAATGTGGAAATTCAAAATATAAATTTGCCGATATATTTTTCAAATCCTATACGACAACTTCTTTTTGTTGTATGTGCAAGTTCCTACTATGCAGAATTTATATCGATATTTATAATAGTACTTTAAACAACATGCAATTTTTTTGTTTTATATATTTCAATGAAGTAAATTTTAGTTATATTGAATAAAAGAGATTTGTAGATTGTCCGAGAGAATTTGGCAAATTTATGGTGTTTGTTGCTAAAAAAAATATGCTCGATAAATAGAACCAAAGGCCACTTATTGAGATCTCATTTAAACATCCAAATACAGACCTTTAGTCATAAAATCAGAACGTAATAATATATGAAACAATCTGTAAAATAAATTTATTTCTCCACTGTTTGATACACTTCATAATCCACAATATCAATACCCCATCAGAACTCAACAAACCAGGTCGTATGAGTATTCTTACAGTAATTATTAGAAGTATTAGAAGTATTAAAATCGGGGCCAACCAGGACCATTTACATGATTTTCATAGCATTTCACACTCGGTCCTAGATTATGTTTTCTTAGCTTGAATGTCATCAGAATTAAATTTAAATAAAAAACTATATACAGTGGCTCAGACGTGTAACGGAACACGAAAATTAACATCTAGAATTTTTATTTCCATGACTATTTAGTTCGAACAAAATAAAAAAGTGTTCATTTGAAACGTTGAAACCACTAATATTTTTTAAAACTAATTTGACGACAGATTATTTTGTGAAATAAAGTGATTTAATTAGTAAATTTCTCACATCGAAGAACATTTTTTTTATGACGCATTCTAAATTGGACCACTAATTAAAAATGTTCTACTCTATGAAATATACCTATTTACCAATTTTCATAAAATCGGCTTAATTTTTATAGATACTAAAAACCGAATCTATGCTAGGAGCATTAATACATGAATTAATGCTCCCAGAATAGATTCGGTCCTTCGGGGTCTCGAATCTCGGTGAAATTGGTAAATAGTTAGATTTCATAAAGTAGAACATTTTTAATTAGTGGTCCAATTTTGAATGCGCTATAGAAAAAATGTTCTTCATGTGAGAAATTTACTAATTTAAATCACTTTATTTCACAAAATAATCTGTCGTCAAGTTATTTTTAAAAAATATTAGTGGTTTCAACGTTTCAAATGAACACTTTTTTATTTTGTTCGAACTAATAGTCATGGAAATAAAAATTCTAGAATGTTAATTTTCGTGTTCCGTTACACGTCTGAACCACTGTATATAAATAACCTTCGAAATTGATTTTTATTTAGTATCAGTATTAAAAAAATGTCAAATAACGATAACGATAAGTAGTCACATCCATCATAATATAAAATCACTATCCAATGATACCGATATATTATTTTTGACATACTGTATTGTATATCGATAATAAAAACCTGTCAACAACTTTGCTATAAAATAATTTCAGAGTAATAAATAAACCTTTATGTGTTGTCTTCTTAAATCCTCGACTTGACTTTCTTCTTGATATAGTAGTTAATCGAATAATTTTCTATTCCTAAAGTGATATTTTTGATTATTTTATTTTCTACCAGAATTCCTACTTATGATTAAAAATTGGAAAATACATAAATTGATAGTTCATTAACTATTCTATAATATTACGTATTTTTTCGACTGGGAATATTCTGATTATCAAGTTTATAGCTCTTAAAGATTTTTTTATAAGTTTATATATTAGTTTGGAAATTTTGGCCATACTTTAACGATATACATTAAATGATCGTTTAAATTCCCATAAAGTTCGATAAATCTTGAATTGCGCCATATTGGAACTCTGGTTTCTCCAACGCAAAGAATACATCTAGTCTAAATATTGTTAACTTATATTTATTTTCAAATATAAGTGAATGAATATATATCACATTCACATTTTAATTTTGAAATTAACTACTTTTACAAAAATCAAATAATTTATGTTCCGATATTCTGTATTATTTACATCCACCATTCAAATTCTTTTGTCTCATTACCGGAAACCAAATGTTTTTTCGCATCTTTCTGTGTTCTGATGCCTTGCAAACTTTTCAATCTGTATTTATAATCAGGAAATTTTCCAATTTTCTGGATTTTCAGAAACTTCATGTGAATCCACAAATTTAAATAACCTACGTGGACTACGCAAGCCATTTATTACATATACAGTCGTTCCTCGTTATTAAAATCATATATATATACGAGGGTGGATAACTACGGGGCGGGGTTTAGGGTTAATATATAATTTATTATCATTTGTAGTCTGTTGATATTATCGGATTTGATAACAACGGGCGGGGTCGGACTGTGCAGTCTGACTCTCGTATATATCAACAAAATAGTCATGATGTTGATAACAAGAGGAACGATTGTACAGTCTGACCCCTCGTTGTTATAAACCCAGATAATATCAATACAAGAACGGATTTCAAATGATAATAAATTATATATTACCCTAAACTTCGTAGTTATCCACCCTCGTATATATCAACAAAATAGCCTGGTCTCATGATGTTCTAAATTTGCTATTTTCAATCATGTGCCTCAAAAGGGTTTTACATTTTTAATTTTTTTGTTGGTTTCATTTGCATACTGCGTATCTCGCTTCTGATCAAACTGAACAAAAAAATAAGAATCACGAATTGTGCTTTTGCTATGAAAAATCCGCAACCTCATAATTACAATATTTCTTGTGTTTTTCGACGATTTTATTTGACGTCCAAACAGCTGAAAACAGATACAAGTACGTACACGTATACCAAATAAAATTAATGTCAATGTATTTTTGTGCAGGGCAGGGTAATAGATAAATGATTCAATCGTTATGATAATTTCTGTAATGAATATTTTATTGAACAGGGAATATTATACGAGGTTCTATAATTTAACGATAACCCAAATTTTATTTACACAAAATCACAACGATAATGCTTACAACAATTCGTAAATTTCAAAAAAAAGCTATAAATCTAAAGTTTATAACCTGTCCATTTAACAAAAACAAATCTTTGAGCTTTTGGAGCAACTGGAGTATCGAGATGTTTGCATCCAAGAGCTTTTGGATCAGCTATAATAGGTTTCTATTTTAGCAGAAAATAAGAATTAACAATTTTTAAATTCAACAAAGAAGAGGATATTCAGAAAGAAAATATTTACCACTAAGTCGCAACATAATATGGAAGAACAGTGTTAAGTGTAGATTCATTAACATCATATTTCCATTGTTGACGTTTATCTTGGTCGTTCTTTGGCTGGATTACTAGATATGGGTCTGACAATAATAATAGAATATTTATAAAAAAAATAAACAAATTGAAGAACTAAAACAAAATTAGGTTTAATATACCCATTTATTGCACTTTTATAGAACGGATAAAGAAACATCATTAGTCACTATTGACCAAATTTCAATATTCTTAAAATTCAATTTCGAATACTTACAATCACTCAGAGACAATGTAAAACAATTTAATTTGGAAACAATATGGTTGCCATCAATTCTCCACAATTGATTGAGAGGATCCTATTTGTAGAATAGTCATACGTATAAGAAAAAATTGACTTCAAGATTTCTTTAGCTTACGCTTAGATTATTGATAGTATATAAGATCACAGGTGTTCCTAGATCCAGTTACATCTAAAACATATCCAGTATCTGAAACAATCCAACACCAATCGCTCATATTGAAATATAGGAAGAGATCAAGTGAATTTCAATTTGAATGAGTTGCAATTCTCGGTCTGTTTTTTTATTTGTTTTTTTTTTCAATTGATTTATGGCGAGAGAGATGTGGACCATCGTGGGGGCAAGGTTTTACACGGCTAATTCTTAAAATGTCTATAAAATAAACGTCTGTGCAGGTGTCTCGACTCGCTTATAAAATTCGTCGCGGGAGCGAGATTTACACGGTTAATTCTTAAATGTTACTGTGTCTTTAGAAAATCCAATTAGAAAATCGTTATTTCATATATAGTTCTCAATTCACTAGTTAAATTACAATTCGTTTTTCTTCTTATAATGTTAAACGAGATTTAACAAGATTTTACACGGTTAATTCTTAAAATGTTTTTAGAAAATCAAGTTAGCCATTTATCATGTAATGTTTTGGGTATCGGATAGGTATCCCTTCACTAATTAAAAAATATTGCGTGATAAATGGCGAATAGGTGTCTCAGATCAAGGGCACGTCATATTGAATTAGGTAGTTACCATGAATTATGTTATTTCATGTTTTAACGTTAATATCTGCAACTCTACTTATGAAGTATAATTCGTCATTTTGCCAAATTAATTTTTCAGGTAAGACAACAATAATGAATCAACTCAAACTGTTGTTTGTGTGAATGTACTACAGGAAAACATTCGATAAACTGCTTATCGTTATCGATATCGATATGTCAGTAATAGCGGTAAACTAAATGGGATTTCATGATTGTACATGTATATATCGATACGTATTGCAGCTGGAAATCCATTTCACGCCAGAAGAATCCTACGATAAAACGTACAGTACAAGTTCTTAAAGAAGTAACGTATCGGTATGGTGAAAAAAATCAATGCGTACAACATACGCATGTATGACAATACGCATTTGTATTCTATATACGTACTGGTACTGAGTACATGTATTAGAATAATTATCTGAATATATGCATCAAAATATGACAAGTAACGACTATATAAAATGACCCTAGTTGTGTAGAGTGCATAGACTCAATGTTTTGGTCGTTATTTTCGTTGTGAGAAGTTTCAATAGCAATAAATATACATGTAACACATGAATTTTTGATCTGTGGGTGGTACAAACCAATAAAATGCATAAATTTTTGATCAGCTCCGGAAAACAAATCCGACACAAGAAATGAAAAAAATGTAAAAAATACGGGAAACAGATGTTGAAATCTAGCTTGGTACACTAATGAAAAATGTCAGGAAGACAATTTTGTATATAACCCTTTCTCAGTTCTAACCTAAACCCTAATCCTAACCTTTAAATTAACCTTTAACAATAATTTATATTACCTTGGAATTTTTCCGGACATACAATATTACATATCGATATAGCGTAATACATGTACAATGTTTTTAATTACCCAAGATGCATACTTTACGAATAGCATCAAAACACTGAATCTATGCACTCTTTACACAACTAGAGTCGTTTTATAGTAATATATTTTGATGCGTATGTGTATAATTATTCTAATACTCAGTAGTATATAATACAAATGCGTATTTTTCATAAATGTATATGTTGTACGCATTGATTTTTTCACCATACGTTATTTCTTTAAGAACTTGTACTGTACGTTTTACCATAACACCGTTTTTAGAAAGAGCCAATTATATATACGTACACTGTACGTAAACAAAAATAATTGAACATATTAAAAATCCTTTTTCCTAAGATTCACTCAAACGGAATGATCTAAGTTATTTAGCCGAAAACTAATCAATATTGCCGAGATTGTGTCAATAAATAATATAGGACCCCGGATAATCTTAAAAGAATTGGTATGCCATAATTCTGGTCAAAGTTGCAAAATTCGGCATGCCAGTTCATTTAAGATTATCTGGGGGTTCTAATGATATGTTCCAAAGTGCTAATCAACAATCAGGAAAAGAGATTGTTTTGAGAAAAAAGAAGAAAAATTTAGAGAGTTTGGAAATTTTTCTTGTGCTATTTGCTAGCAAACTTATCAAGGTCAACCTCACAAAGTTCATATTAGTAATTATTAAGAGCAATAAATAATCTCCAAGAATTAACTTCTATCTGTTCTTTTGTTTAGAAGCTAAAGTAATAATCGCTCATTTTTACTGTCCTCAGACTAGTGAAGAACGGGATACTTGAAAATAGGAATGAACTTGAATTTGATTGTTATTGTCCTCATAATACAATATAAAATCATGCCAACAGCATTTGATTTACAATGAAATATACCTTCTTCTGTTAGTAAGAAAGACAGGTATTCTTAAGTTTTGACATTAAGTGAGCCGTTTTAAATTTTTTTTAATTCAGCTTAAAGCTACGAAAAGTTCTGTATAGTGCTCCAATCGGGTCGGGTCCGATCCGTGACCCGATCCGAAATATTTCGGATCAGAATAAAATCGCTATTTCTCGTTCAATATTAATTCAAATTGAACGAAAATTGTAGATATACACACCATTGCATTCCGAACAACTCTACGTAAGACAAAAATACAAGTGTCTTAGTAAAAATAAAAGTTATTAACGAAAACTATTTACGATTGCCGGATCAAACCCGACCCGAACCACTCCGAATTTATCGGTTCGGGTTGACCTCAAACCCGACCCGACTCGAACAGAGATATGGGGAAGTCAGTAAAAAAGGACAAATAAAAATGAGTTTTGCATCCAATATATTAATATAAATATATAGAGCAATTAGTAACGACCGGAATTAAAAACCCAATTATCGGAAAATTATAAATTTATCAATTTTACTGACTCCACCCCCATCTGTAGCTTCATTTGAAAAGATTACATTCTTCTCTTTCTATAGCCACACAAAAACGAAATCAAACTATAAAAAGTTCGCGGAACACACGCCTGTGAATTTCAATATATGTTTGTGAAAAAATACAAAAAAGTCTAACATGTCTGTAAAAGACATGTAAATGTCCACTTTTATGTGCGTTTTACAGATACAAACACGTAATTGAATATGTAAGTGCATGAAATGTTGGACGAGCAGACCTTACAACCTTTCTAGCAAATTTTCTTCTATGATTTAAACCAGATGTCGGTGATCAAAAAAAGCTATCTTAGATTAATGATTCAATAAACAATTTATCTTCGATGAATTTACAATGATTAATTTTATTTCACAATGACATTTACTTAAAAAGTTACGACAAAATGAAAACGTGTTCCTTATCGTATCGGAGGATCGAATCCGCGATTTTGCAGACTTGGTATTTGCAGATGATCAATTAAAAATACACGTAATTAAAATTACTAAAATAGTTAAAACTAATAATCGCAATAAAATAGTTACGTATTGTTTAGAAGTACATGTACTTGATAATGTACATGTACTTAATAATCAAGTGCGAAAACGTCGTCGCTTTAATTAAACACATGCTAATTTAAATGCATAATTTCTTTGTTACGTAAGAGCTACCCCCAAAATAATTGAAACGCGTGCTAATAATAGATCATTTTTCGCAAGCATCTTGAACTATACGGAAAATCCTTTGTTTGACTAAGCGAAAGAATTAGTTTTATCGTTATAGCGCCAAGGTTATTTTAAGTTAATATTAGATACAATAGGAAATGTTGAGCCGCCAATCTGCATTAAATTAGGAGAAAAATTCCAAAAAAGCAAATACTTTATTGATACGTACGTAAATCCTATCGTTTATGAGTTTATTTATCGTTATGCCGAGAAATTTTAACAATTAATAACATAAGCTAAACGTAATCTCAAAAAGAGATTTCAAACGAAAGATTATCAATGACCAGTACAAAAAGATGTTTTACGTGTATATAAATCCAACCTCTTTAGAATTTTTTGTCACAATAAAGAAATAAATCCCTAGTTTGTTCTCAATTGGCTGGCACTCGTAACAAAATAAATTATCTAAAGATGACTAATTTCAGCAACACTAATTACGAATATTTAACGGAGAATGAAAGACAGATTTTAAAAAAATGTCCTTACCGATTAACTCTTTCGATTGACGAATTAACCAAATCAGCCGTAAAAAAACACCACGATTTTGATAAACCACCACGGCCACAAAACAGCTGGATAATTTTTCGAAGAGATTACGCAGCGTATTTACGCTTATGGGATCGACATTCCAAATCAAAAATTGCTGAAACAGCAAAAGAATGCAGTTTAAAGTGGCAAAAACTATCAAGCGAAGTTAAGAATTTCTTCAAAGTATTGGAAAAAATAGCTTGTGAGAATCATAAGCTTGTATATCCTAATTATAAATATAAGCCAAAAAGTGCTAGAAATTCAAGTGGTAAAAAATTTATTTTTCAAGAACAGCAAAAGTATCCTACTTCGCCAGCTAACTCTAACCCTACAATAACTTCCAATTCACCTCAAAAACAAATCGACGGATCACGATCTTCAACGTCAGCAATTTCGACAGCACCCGACAATAATCAAGGTCATACTAATAATTTTACGACAGTCATCTATAATCATCGAGACTATAATAATGGCCTTGCAACTATTCATCAAGACTATACCGATGCTAATGATCTAGCTCAAAATTTGACCAACAACTCGTCCAATGAATTGGATAATCAACCTCCTATTTTATTCGATTTTTTCTTTGGCGATAATATTAACAAAAATACAGATGATGAAA